AAAGTTCAGTTGAAAAAGATCTATGTTTTTTACAATATTTTAAGTTTTGAACGCCCCCAATGAACAGGTTAAGTGATAGATTTTCAAAAAAATGATATCAAATGATAGGTATATATCTAAGGTTTTAGTATAAAAAAAAAACTATGATGATTTATTGATTTTTCAAAAAGTTATGGAAGTTTTAAGAAAAAAAAGTGAAAAAAATGACAAAATTTGTCGATTTTTAAATTTGTAATTTTTTTGGATATTTCCCCTATTTGCGGGGAACGAGGGAAAATTTTTAAATTTTTAAGGGTAATTTCTTCAACTAGATACGATTTGTGATCTTTTGACGTATTTTTGAAAGAAATCGGTCCAGTGAGTGCTGAGAAAAAGTGGCAACAGATATAAAAAAAAACACATCATAGTAAAATTAATACCTTCTCCGCTTCGCATCGAAGCTAAAAGTTGTATATAATATTTTTTTTAAATTTTAGATAAGTTGATAACAACTTAATGATAAGTACTTTATTTCCTATGAAGTCTATACCTATTTTATTTATTTAAATGCTTGTTACTCAATGAGTAACATGCATTTGTTCTAAATTTGTTATTAAGTCATCAAAATTTTTTGTAGGGCTAAAAATAGTTATTCCAATATTTTGAAAAAAGAAATAAAATTAGTTTTATTTTATTTGTTTTTTCTTATTGGTTATAAATAATATGATCAAAAAATATGACTTAAGTGTAGTCTACGAAGGCAATAATTAATTTTTAAAAAATTAACAAAATGAGTTATGTTAAAAGTTATAAGTGGTATCAGTTAAATATGAGACACTGTATGATACATGCTTTCTCATTTTTTTTATTTAGTTATTTGAGATACTTACTATTAGAAAAAAAATATTCCATCCCCATTCAAATTCAAAAACGCCAGAATAAACATTTTTAACACTTGTAAATAATAACAATTTTTCAATAATCAACGTTGTTCTTATATCGTTATAAATACTTTGTTTTAACATAGTTATTTTTATGTATTATGGGGAACATGCTTCAAACACCGATATTTTGTTATTGAATATATAACTTTATAACGCTTTATTATTATATATCTTTTGGTAAGATTATGTTTTTAGATAATAATTCGTCGCTTAATTAAATGAAGTAGTTTAATAAAATACATGTTTGAAATCTAAATTATACCAATTATATATTAATGAAAATAATAATTCTTCAATACATTAATTGTATGCTAAAAGCATACGTTTGAATGTACCTTAAGATTATCTGATTTTTACAACGTGCATAAAAATGTGTTGCTGTGTTCATTGCAAATTTAGACTTAATTTATTTTATCTGAAGTAATCTAAAGATAAATTTTAATAGCCCATAAATTATTCTTAACAATTATATTTCTCCAGGGAACTGAAAATGAATGTTATTACCAACAGTTATTGACTAATTTTAATGTTTCTAAATTAGTGTTCGTTTAAATATTTATAAAATGTACTTATGAATGTTTTTTATTAAGTAATAATTTGTGTACTCAAATTTTTATCAGATATGAAGGTATTATCCTATTTAATAGATCAACTCAAAATTTAAATGGCATAATTATGACGCTATAATGTAATTCTATGTAGAAACAATATTACAATATTGGAAACATTTCCTTTAATTACATATTTAAAATGTTGCCATTTAGTACTACAAGTATTGAAGTATACAGTTTTATGATAAATCGATGACTATTGTGTTTATATTAATTTCATGTCGATTCTATCTATATTATTTAAACATTTTTAACAGGAAAAAAAGTCATCCATACACGATATCCGTTCATCGTATTAAATATGTCGAATAAAAAACATAATGTTTAAATAGTAATACTTTAAATGTTCTTTTTTTATAATAACATTTTTATTAAGACTTTAAATTATATTCAATTCAATAATATTTAATAATTACATTTATTATTAAAATTGTTGTGTTTTTTTAATGAATCCGTATAACACTTTATTTAAAAACTCACCAATTAATCAACCTGACAATATTATTAAAACAAAATTTCTTAATTCATTAAAGCTAATTAGTTTTCTTTATTTATTATGTGGATTTAGAAACCTATCATACTGTGTATGGCCATCTAAATTTTTAATTTTGAAAGGTTCAAGAGTGCTCATTCTTGATGAAATTTTTCGAACAGGAATCTACTTTTTACTATCATTTATTTTTCTTCAAAGGCCACCATTTTATTATTTTTACTACAATTTAATTCGTTTTTGGGTAACATTTTTGGTTGTTCGGTATAGTGAAAAAATAACAATAAAGTAAGTAAATGATTCTACAACATTAAAAGTTTAAAATCATATTTCAAAACATTTGCAGGCTCATAGAAAATATGCTCAACTATGATTTTAAATATTCTGCTGTTACACCGCTTATTGAAATGCCTACATTTAAAAATAGATTTATGTTTTTAATTTTAATATTATTCTTCATTTTTAAAATAACAATACAAATTATATTACCATTTATAATTATTAGAAGACGGTTCAGCATCATGGAATTCATAACAGATTTAGTCTTTAGCATACCAAGATTAACTGATTTTGTTATAGTTTTTAGTGCATGTTTCTTCTTAAGGCAAATAGGACATAGATTTTCCATTTTAAACAAATTTTGGAAACGATTACCAGGTGAAATTATTAGAGCACCAGGCCATTGGTCTAAGGATGAAATTGTAATGCTAATAGAGAGTTGCAGACTACTTCATGCTAATCTCAGTGATATTCTCAAAACATTTAGTTATGCATATGGTCCTATATTAGTGTTCTTCTTGTTATTCATATTTGTAGACATGGCGTATAGTGTGTTTATTATTTTATATTTGAATACAGCAATTTTAATATTCGCCCAAGATAGTCTATTCATCATTGTACTTCTGAAACAAGCAACATGGACTTTTAATCGGGTAATTTTTGACAATCGTACATTAGTAAGATAGTAACTATTGAGAAGCCATTAATTTATTTATTTTAATTTAAATTATTTAATACAAAATAATTAAAAGTAATAACAATATATTAATCATGTACCTTTATATTTCAATTTACTTAATAAATAAATAAAATAAAGCATCGTACATTTAGAAAAGAAAGATTATTTCATTTTTGCGATTATGTCAAATTGCCGATTTACCGGAAGAAATAAGGATACAGGTGAATATTAAAAATAGTAACATAACTATAGCACAACTTTCCCTATTCAAATTATGTTTTATAAAATACTTTAAGTATGAATTTTATGGGTATTAAGTTAAGTTATTTTATAAAATTAGTACTTTTATAGATGTCATTCTTAGTATGTAATATTTTATTTATTTTTAGATTTGTTAAAATTTCGTTTTAAGTAATTTTATAATCTATAGTTGCAGTTTTTTATGAAACAAGTTTCTTGTTATGAAAATAATGAGTTGGCAGCAAGTGGCACATTTAAATACAATTTAAAACTAATTTTATCGGTAAGGTTTTATTATAAATACTCCATAAAGTATTATATAAATTATTAATATTATAACAGTTATAAAGTCATGAGAATGCAAAGTAAAACCAATTAACTAACATATTTATGTTAATTAGTTTATTAATTAAGATAATAATAAATAAACATAAAATTATCCAATAGAGATGGTGAAATTTATTTAATTTTCTCAATTATTATTTGTTATAGTTGATAAATTAATTGGTTATTGATATATTGATATACTTTCTGTATTGCCAGTTAGTATATTTATAAACTCGCAGCAATGTGCCTAACTATCATTGATAATAAATGCTGCGTACCTGCGATTATTGATAAAAAAAAACAAAGTCGACACCATCTTACAAGGCATAAGGGATGGACTTAAAAAGTAGTAAATAATTAATAATTCAAGAATAATGTGTATATAAAGATAACCAAAAAGAAAATATTTTAATTATTTTAATTCTGTAAGTAATTGAGTGGGTTATGTTAAAAAAATCATTTTGTATATTATCTCAAGTATTAAATTAATTTTTAATACTTCACTAATGACCCAAAATTTTTGTTACCTTGTATTAAATGCAATAACTTTCTTCATTTTTTCTTTAATGTTTTTTTTTTTTATTATTAATATCACCGCTTAATAACTGCGTGAATCTCAAAATTTAATAGAATTTTGCCTTAAATATTTAAGAATGGGCAATTAATAAAAAATAATAATTTTTTGTCCCTTAATAATATCCATTGTTCAAAATTAAAATAAAAAAAAAACAATTTTAGTGTATTATATGCACCATTGATATATTTTAGTTGGTAGTTATTACCAATGTTATATTAATAATAACAAAAAATAATAAATATTCAAAATTTATTAAAAATCATGGTATCAAACCAGTTATAGTACCTTTTTGACACGCTTATATTAGTTTCATCTGTATGTATGTTTGTATATTTGTTTGTAAATTTGTAACTCTCCATTTTATTCTCGCGTGTCCCGTTGTCTATGGCCATGAGACTAGACTGTCTTAACGCATTCACCTCACCCCGCTCACCACACGCGGACAACACTATTACTGTATAATTTCATTTTTGGTTTTCGTACCCGTACACGCTGCGTTTCATCAATATTATATATATATATATTATTGTTATATTATATATATTTTTTATATATATTAAATATAAACAAATTTTTATAGTGACACGGCCCCGCCACTCGTGCCACTTTTATCAGCCGTTATCCTACTATGAGTATTTTTGTTTGACTGACCAATACCACGTGCCATACGCCACGGTGCAAAGTCCAGCAAGTGCCGCACGGCCGTCGACGACCCTCCGCAAATGATACGTTGAGTCTTCTTCCCGTTCTTAAAGTGACAAAGTCGATGATGTACGCCACCGGCTCCGGACGACCGAACTCGACGAACCGATACGCACCCGCGCACCGTCGCCATCAACGCTGCTAACTTTTCGACGCCCGAGGATCATGATGGACACTGCTATTAGCCGGTTCTGGTACGCACTATAATATTAGGTGCCCCTGTCCTTAACAATATTTTAACCAAAAACATGCATACCGAACTATTTATAAAAAAAAATATAGTTTAAAAAACACGCTTTCATAACATTTGAAACTAAAAAGTAAACAATAAACATAGTTTAAATGCGTGTTTTTTTAGTTTTTTTCCCTAACTTAACATGCTACAGAAGGTGGTGGCCCTCTTTCATATGTTATGGAGTCAAAGATGATTCTTGGTTAAACCAATGATTGACGGAACGGATATTTTGGTATTAAAAAATTAATAGGAAACCTGGTGATCGAACCCATGAAACATACGTTTCTACCCACTAGGCCAGACCGATCTTTATTATTATTACTATTATGAAGTAAAGCAGAAAATATCATAACACTCATAATGAAGTGGTCTAATTTAAGTACTTTTCCACCCAAAATCTCAAATCATGGCCTAGTCGGACCTGTCCTAATTTCATCTGTAATTTCGTCCGCTGATATGTTTGTTAATTTTTAAATAATTAAAAAATTAATTATGTTCAGAATATTTTTAAACACCAGAGATATATAGAAATTATAAATGATTGAATATACTATGAATTATATTTAAATGATTTATTACAATAAAAATGCAAAACAAAAAGTAATTTTAACGAAATTTTGACCTCTTCTCATAAATGTATTGTAAATAGCAATTAAACAATTTCCTGAATGCATATTAATCTTAACAATATCATTTTTTAAATTCTCATAAAGTTTTCTATTTGATGCTGTCAATATCAAACTTGCAAGATGATCTAAAAAAAAGTTCAACCTTTTTACTATTAACTTTTGTAAAAATATGATAAAGACTTTCCGAAACACTTTCAAAAGATAAGTTGAAAAAGTTAATTTTTTGTGAAAAAGTTGTCATTTTAAATTATCCCCAGTGGGCAGGTAACGGTTCTAATTTATAAAAAATATATACCAAATCATAGATAAAGACATCAAGCATCTATAAAAAAAATTATATTGATTT